TAACATTATTGTACACATTCAGATATAAATTGTGAATTAGGTTTGATCACTATGAACAATCTTCCTTTTTTTTAAACAAATTAATCTCCAAATAACTTGGAAGTTTATATCTTAAAATTACATAGAAACTTAAAAGTCTAAAAATAATTCCCTGATAGCAAGCTAACGTCAAAATGATGACAAAATGATGTAGCTTGCTACCAGGATTGTGTACTGTATTACTATACATATATTCTTGATGATCCTGATGAATTGATTGCTCAATTTTTTTTATTATAAAAATAAATGAGATTTTAACGTGTTTGAGGATCAAAGTTCGCAAATCTTAAGGTATTTCTCCGGCTACAATCGCTCTAGAAAATTAATGGCGTATAACCTACGAATATATCTCTCGGCGCGTGCTCTCTGAAGAGAGAAACTTTTGTGACGGACGTACACACACACACACACACGCATAAATGTCGTATCTGTATACACGAACACTAGTCTGCACTGAAAACAGTTGAAATATGGCAACAATACACATACACGCACACACACCATACAACACACACACACAGTATGTTCCTGTCTCGTCGCTCAGCGTGCAAGAAGGAGAATTCCATCAAATTACAAATGTAAACTACTCTAATTCAATAACGGCACCGTTAGGCCTCTCCATTTTTTTTTATAAGGTTTCTACAATATTTCTACATTACATTTTTTTTTAAATCTGTAGAAGATTTTCGCCGCAAAATATTAAAACATTACTTCGGCAAGGCTTGATATAGGAGTTTACGTGTTAAAAGCTGAAGCTTTGAACATGAATATCTCTATTTCGGTTAAGGTTTTTGAAAAATTTCAATTTTGAAATATGGATATTAATAAGATATGGTTAAAATAATTTTATCTATATATGTGACTAAAATTAGTCACATATAGATAAAATTATTTTAAACATATCTTATTAATATCCATATTTCAAAAAAATCTGTAGAAACTCAATTTCTCAGAGAAATACCTTAAATTTTTTCTATCGAAAATTGTTCGTTGACGTTGACGCATGTGTCATTTCTTATTGTTATACAATCGTCTGCTGACCATTACGAATATGACATAAAAATGTTTTTTGCTATGTATCGTGTAAGAAATTTTTCTATTTATTCTTTACAGCAGTCTACTTTATCTTTCATAATGTCAGAGAAGTTGCGGTTACTGTGAACATTTTCACATGTATATAATGCATGTGTCTTAGAATTATTAGTTGCCTCTCTAATCAAATGTCAGAAAAAGTCGACTTAAATTAAGTATAAACGACACTAGATTAATTTGAAAGGTTGCCCGCTGTGAACATATAGTTATTATATTACATTTGCGTATATCAGCATTATCATATTTCCGCCACGGAGTATTTCGACATTAAAAGCATTAAAAACTGGAAATATTAGTCATTCTGCGTCTCGTTCTAGCATATTTTTCTCTTCTTTATCATGAAAGCTTTTTTATTATAAAACATAGAATTAGAGCAAAATGAAGATCATGTTATCGGACTATCTTATTTCTTCCGAAACATATGTTCAGCTATCACTTGTATTTTATGTTTCTTTTTTCTTTCTTTTCGTAATATCTGAAAAAATCAATTTTATTGATACAGAGGCTGAATTTGTATCACAATTAAATCGAGTTCAAATTTCAATACTTTTATATATAATGTGCGTGCATGCGTGCGTGCGTGTGTGTGGGGGGGGGGAGGTTATTGTCGTTGTATATACAAAATATCTAGGATCTTTAAAATCTGATTCTATATATATATATATCCGCGGGTATTACTCTGGATAGAAAATGCAAAATGTACGATGACGGAATACCTTTGTAAATAAAAAATAAATAAAAATCATTATTAATAAATTATAATAGCATACAATAATGAAATCAATTATACCTTTAGCACTTATGGAAAAAGGTGGATTTGCGTGATACTTGCAGTGCTTACGATACAAAATAAATATCCATTTAAAATCCAAACTAAAATCACGGAAAGTTATAACATTTATGAATTAATCATCTTTATTTAATTTTTCACGTTTTTCGTTTGAACAAATTTCTCGGTGATAGTCACTGCATTTTCTTTCAGTAGTATGTTTCTCGCATAAGAGACTCTAGACTTACTACGCCATTGTCAGAATCGTACGAGCCTAATCGACGGTAACTCTTGACAATCTTTCGCCTCTGAACTGTTGCTATGAAGTACAGTCTGTAGCAATTGCTGCGCACAGTGCACATACCGAGAATTATGTGATGCTATTGCACACAAAAAAAGAAAAATAAATTATTTATAAATGAAGCGCTGTACTACATTAAAAAAAAAGTTCAAAAGACACAAGTGTATCACTAGCTGGAGTTGCGTGTTTTCCGCAAGTAGAAATTTATTGCGTAAGATATATCGCTTCGTAATTAAAGTTGTGTCATATCGATTAAGAATACGTAATTGTGATTTTTCTGTATTTGTTCGTTTGTTATGAATGAATCAATTACATTGCACATACACTGAGAGAAAAATGTTTGGTATTTGTAACTATAATTACATATCACTATAATTATGATTATTACTGCTATAATAATAGTAACAGTAACTATGTATATAGTTCTACCAACAAATGTATATAGTTGGCAACCTAAAATGACTATAATTATAGTTGTTATAACCATAAAATAGTTGAAATTACCATAAAAATGATTCAACTATAAAATTATAGTCACTTGAATCATTTTTATAATTAATTTCAACTATTTTATGGTTATAACAACTATAATTATAGTCATTTTAGGTTGCCAACTATATACATTTGTTGGTAGAACTATATACATAGTTACTGTTACTATTATTATAGCAGTAATAATCATAATTATAGTGATATGTAATTATAGTTACAAATACCAAACATTTTTCTCTCAGTGTAGGATTTTTACATGTAATTAAATGAGTTTAATGATCCTTCTTTTTCATTTTATAATTATCTATATGTCAAGTAGACCAGTTCACAGTATATGTATAAACAATTATACGACGTATGGTATCAATCTTAATATTTTGCAACTTTGAAAAAATTCTGTTGATAGCTTATCTTTATGTTTTAAGGCTCCTGCGTAGTCAGCGTGATTCAAAATCAGTCGGCGGCCTGGCGAAATATGGCGAAATCAGTAGCCACATACACAAACACAAGCCCATGTACATATACATGTGCTCTCGGCGCGCCAAAAGCGAGCACATGCACATGGGCTCGTGCTTGTGTTACAGCGCCTCGCCACAATAAATGGGTGAACTTATAGGCGTGGAAAAGTGACGTTTAACGACAAAATTTGTGCTGCATGCCATTTCGTTATTATTTGCTTAATTATCAAAAAGTAACGTGTCTCGTACTTATAAAAATCCTAAAAATGGGCAGAAATTATAGTTGTCCTGGAATTTGATACGTAAAAGCGTATATTTCATTCATTTCAACATCTGTTCAAACTGTGTGTTTCTGCCCGAAATTAGACTCACTTTACTTACCTTTTACGACCATTTACTGACTATTAAGAGAGAAAAAAGGACATAGTTTCTGCCTATTTTTACAGGTATTTTAAAGCAATCTCATCATTTAGATTTATCTAAATTGTTTTTATTTACAAATGGCTTGTAGCATAAATTTACATGTCATTCCTCGTTTCTGACATCACGATTCCAACATGGCCGCAACTCAGGAGTCTTAACGTCAGCATTTTAATAAATATTTAACCAGAGTTTTAAAGCTATTAAAAATTGCATTATTTATTTGCTCGAAGAGAAAATAAAATTATTAAATTATTATTAAAAAATATTAGTTCCTCGAAAAGAAATTGTTATATTTTGAGAAGTGTTAGAAAATTATAACTTATTTTAAAATTCTTTAGAACCTTTCACCGATCGCTTGCAACTTTCAACGTACTCCCGGCATTGAGGATGGAACAAATAGCATCTTTTTTTTCAGATTGTAGAAGTATGGGGAAAAGAAATTATAAAAAGGGACGAGAGGCATTATGTTACTATTCATTTTATTTTAAATCAATGAAGAGCTGTCGCGTGTTCTACAATCTGTTTTTGTAAAGTTTTTTCTCTTCTTAATTTTTTGGGTCGCAACGGATGAACGATGATTGTCGAGTCCGTCGTGCGTATCTCGGATCAATCAATCGTAGATCCACTTTTCAGCGACACAAAATGATTCGTAATCTCGCATCTTGGCAGGTCGTATTATGTGTTTCTGCTCATCAAATTAATTGATAATATGCTGCATCACGATGGAGTGTATCCGTTTTTCTCATAATGCGTTAAATTACTGTGTTATAATAAACTATAGGAATAATAAAATGAAGATTGTATCTTTATCGTTCGTTGTGTTTCAATATTTATTTTCATCAAGTCTCTCTATTTTCCCTCTATACATATATGTTCTTAACTTCCTTTCCTCTTAATTAATTTATTTTGTTAGTTTCTATTTTTCGTTTAATTTCTGTTCGACTACATCATTTTTCTCAAATATATAATGCGTTAGGTTGGTATTTTATATGTCGTACGACAAGGTTTTTTAAGCTTATTGATTGGCTGCAAAGTAGAGAACTTTTCGGATCTCTCTGTCTTGCAACCAATCAACAAATTTGAAATCTTTGTTGCACGAAACATGAAATATTAATATACGATGCATCGTGGAGATAATTGTACTTTTATTGTTCGTTCTATTTCAACATTTATCCTTAACGAGGCTTCATCAACGGTCTCTATTTACCTTCTATGACTACATTTTAAAATGCCTTCTCCGAGGAAAATATTACTCTTAAAATTTATTCTTATGTAGCACACATAACGTATATTATATTTTATCGAATAAAATTTTCCTCGGAAAAGACGTTTCGGAATATGATATTAGTGATATTATCCATGTATATAATTCTTTCCTTTTGTTTTAAATAATTCTATAATTTTTATTAGATTATATTAATTGCAGACCTAATAAAATGGTAGACGTGTTATCGACACGTCTGCAGGAGGTATATGCCAAATGGGAAACCAGGACGCAAGTAACGCGAAATGCGGAACCGACGACCACACCATTTTCGCTGGATGGTAATTTTCTTTTCTTTCATTCCGAAGCTATTCTTACGTAAGATGCGTGTCGTGAGAATATACAATTACTATCAATCGACAGCTACCATCGGCGTGCGACTCTAACTATTCTCTCACAGCGTACTGTTCTTTCTGCGAGTACAGAATGCGTGTCCCGATTGCAAGACGAGAGATATTTATCGTAATCTCTTGATAAATACCGTAACTACCGTACATTTAACGGATTTAAGAACATAATTATTGTATTTTCCGTCTTTCTCTCGGATTGGAATCAAAATTCATAGGCCATTTATTCGTATCAGCTTTACTTCATATCTTCAATTTGATTTAATAATCTGTGTGTCAGTTCTTTTGAAATTGATTTATTATGTCTGTTACTCTAAATTTTAGAAGTATGAAACATTAGAGTACGTGAAATTCTTTGTCAGTTTTCGCATAGACGAAGAATTTCTTCGGACGTCCCATTTGCAACGAGATGCACTTCCAATAATTTGTTAAATGCGATACAATTACAGGTCTTCGACGAGCCGGCTTGCAGTTGCATCGAAGGAAGATTCAGGACCGGGAACAGTCGCGTAAGATACGAGAGAGCTCATTGTACAGCATCAAAGAAACTGAACCGCTGATGCCTTCGATCAAACACAAGTCTTCATTCCTGCATTACTGTTGTAACACCTGTACGCCCGCTTCCAGGGTGAGTTTTTGTTACTAGGATCAGGTCCACATCACGTCCATAATTTATCATTCTCGGCGAGATGAGCGGATCTTTTTCGGACGGACCATGTCTTGCGTGTTCTTCACCAATCTAGCCCGTAATACTAGCGATCTTGCGCGTAGGCGTGCATGAGATTCTTGGAATGGAGCTACCCAGCAACCGATTGACTCATTTAACTTATTGTTAATTACCGAACTTATCGTTAAATACCAGCGATCTCGTTGCTCCAACTTTGCGTCAGTTTCCGGTCCATTTTTCGTCGATAAAATTAATGGGCGTAGCATAGATATGGTTTATACAGAAATCCTACACTGTGCTATATTGATTGTGATTTATAACAGAGTCACCGAAAAAAACGATAGTTTATATATTTATATTTTTATTTATTTGAAATTTATGAAAAAAATTAATAAAATTTTTTTAATTGTCAAAATTTTAGCATCTCATGGAAAAAATTTTTTTGCTTTATGGCGCTCAAAATATACATGATTTATTATACTTTATTTTTAATGTAAAAAAATTTTGTTTAAACAAAATAGAGAATTCAGTTTGCTTTGAAAATCAATTAGATATATTATGTTAATTTAATTAGAATTCAGTTTACACTTTCACGTGTGTTAGACTAGATATCTTATTATATGTTAGAATGCTCTTTAGAATCCAAAGTGGATAATTATTCTATATACATGAGAGAGAGCCATTATATTCGTTACATTTAGATTCGCCAGAAGGATACTCGTCGTGAGAGTTTTATCGTATTTATCGTTACAATTGCGAAATTTACGTAAAAGAAATTGTCGCAAGTTTTATCAATATTTCAAATTACGAAAAAGATTTCTGTATCGAATAACACACATAGGTCATCTACCAAAAATACATCCAACGAGATTGTCCGACCGAATGCTTCTCAGTTTCTTAACCACATGAAATCGCAGATTTCGTGAACAAATCTTGGCGCATCTTCTTGCATAATATCTTTATTCCGTTTCCTACAACAATCCGCATTAATCGCTAGTTGTGCCTGAGGAGTAGAGAGTGTCTGCAAGACGTTTCATTTGCACATTTGCATCTTTACACCTACAAGCATGATCTATTTTCGGTACGCGATATGAGAGATCGGTGTGGGAGAATACACGACGTGTAACAACGACGCAAATAAGTCACCTAAGAACCGTTCACTTTTAAAGATCCTATTGGCCTCTCCTAACGTGATCATTTAGTTTTCGCGAAACGTAACTGTGCGTATGTGTAATTAGTTATGTGTAAATTGCAACGATTGATCATTCCGTAGAATTCTACTTTCAATAAATTGAAATCTATAATCAAGCGATAGTGGTCTCATGGTACACGCAGAAATATACGCAGTTGTTATGGCCTTATTACCTAATTAAAGAATATGTCCTCTGACATGTGTTTAATTATGTAACGAAGCTTTGGTCGTCTTTCATCACTTGACCCTGTCCGGATAAGAACAATTATAGCACGTAGGCACGCATGCATCGACGCGTGCGTAAATGTGAACTTCGTGCTAAGGCACTTAATCTTGAAGAGGAAAAATTGAATCAAAAGTGGATTCGAAGAAGGAAAAGAGAGGGAGATTCGTTCTCTCACATGTACTTCGATAAGCCATGTGTATGACTAAACAATTTAAGTGACTTTGAATTTTTGCAATTATAATTATTCCGATTATTCGATAACAATTTTACGTAATTAAAAAACAAATTGAAAAAATATTTTCGATACAAAATTGTATTTGGAGTGATGAAAAAGTGTCAACATATGCTCATCATAGATAACGATTATTTGTTATCAAAGATCATCTAGTAATTGTCGTTTAATAATAATAACAATATACAATTTGTACACGTGGTATAGCAATAAACATGTATTCGATAACAATTTTACGTAATTAAAGAACAAACAAATTGAAAAAATATTTTCAATATAAAATTGTATTTGAAGTGATGAAAAAGTATCGACATATGCTCATCATAGATAACGATTATTTGTTATCAAAGATCATCTGGTAATTGTCGTTTAATAATAATAACAATATACAATTTGTACACGTGGTATAACAATAAATATGTATTTGATATTCTAATGATAAGAGATATGTGCGAGGAAACACATGGATTCTTATCACGATGGTGGCGTATTGTTATCATTCGCGGGTATCCAAAGAATGTGAGTTAATAGAAGTATAAAAATATAACTAATTTTATAACGCTTATACGAAATGTTTAAAGGTCTTCACTAGAAAAATGAGTTGACTTTGAAGTAGACTAGAAGCACGTTCAGTAATTTTAAAACACTTATATATATATTTGACATTTCCAAAAAAATAGATTAATCAGCTGCTTCTGGTATATGTTCTCATATATGCTCCTTATATTTTTTTTATTATGTATTTTCTGCTGTCTTTACGAAATCTGAATTGAAAAAAAAATGTTTACTTTACTTCCTATCTTTTGTTCCAGGATACATTAGTAAAATCTGTGCTCAAGCAGCAGCAGCAACCATATGGTGTGAATATACTGACACAAAAACCAGATTCTCGAACGCTTTTCTCGAAAGTATTTACTCATCTATATCTTGTATTAGGCTTCAAGAATCATGATTATCCAAGGGTTACAGAAACAGTAAGTTTTGCTCTCATGTACTCTTATCGAATTTAGGCTAAATAAATCTCCACTATTGTTAATCTTGCTCTCGATGTAGGTTCTGAACGATGAAAAATTAAAAGAGGCTATCAAATTAACCGCATTAGAAACAGCTAATCATGAGGGTTGCAGCGAGGAGAAAGCGTTCGCAAAGGCAGAAGCCAGGGCTAGGAGCATACTCCTGCAAATGGAGAGCACTTGTAGCAACGCTTTTATTAAAATAGCCACGTGGGTGTTGTACAAATTGTTGCCTTGTTTCATACAATCCATCGTCGTTATACCCTCTCAACTGGAGATGCTGAAGCAGGCGAGTAATACCGGTTTGCCACTCGTAATGCTGCCCCTGCACCGCAGTCACTTAGATTACATAATGGTCGACTTCCAAATGATTGTGAATGATATAAGGGGTCCATTGATCGCGGCGGGGGATAATTTGAAGATGCCATTTTTCGGGTAAGCTTAGAATTTAACATAAATCTTGTTCTAAGTTTTAGAATCTTATTCAGTAACATTTATGAGGATATATTTACAATACGTTCAATATCGGTTGACAGATGGCTTTTGAAAAATCTGGGCGCTTTTTACATCAAACGTCGTATCGATCCGGTAACAGGACGCAAGGATCTTCTTTATCGTGCAACTCTTCAAACGTACATTATGGAGAATCTTCGTGCTGGACACAACATGGAATGTTTCATAGAAGGTGGCCGCACAAGAACCGGTAAACCTTGCATGCCAAAGAGTGGTATCCTGAGCGTCATCGTCGACGCATACATGGATGGCACCATTGAGGATGCATTTCTAGTACCTGTAGCGATTAATTACGAACGATTGGTAGACGGAAATTTTGTTAGAGAACAGTTAGGGCAATCAAAAAAAATGGAGACTTTCACGTCAACGATTAAAGCTATGTGGTCAACATTAAGGGGCCGTTATGGTATCGTCAAAATCGATTTCTGTCAACCGTTTTCCCTCAGGGTAAGAGAGAAAGAAAGATAATTTTTCTCAAATCAAATTGATTCGCATCGATAAGTTGAGACTTTTAATGTGGAAAGATGATTTCCAACAGGAAATGGTAAAGGCTTTTCAAGCTCAGCAAAATAAATTGGCTCTAAAAACTTCAGAAGGATATTTAAAATATACTATGTCGAATTCATCTCTTTACGGTACAGATGTAGTTGTGGAGGAACATCGACAAATGGTAGATAGCATCGCCCGACACATCGTGTATGGTGAGTCAAGATGATTATTAGCATGTTATGAAGTAAATATATCATTTATTATCAAGTAAATATATTATTGATATAGAAATATTTCTGTCGATTGTGAAATGATATCTTTATTATAATTTTTCAAGAGACGAATTTGAATTATCATCGTCTAATTGTTTTTAGATTCGTCAACATCTATGCCGATTATGTCAACGAATGTTGTTGCATTTTTATTATTAAATAAGTTCAGAGACGGTTGTACGTTAGACAAACTGGTCGAAGCGTTCGATTCGATAAGACAAGAGTTGGAATTTAGTGAAAAGAACATAGCGTTTTGCGGGGAGAGTGTTGATATCATTAATCATGCGGTTGGTAGACGATAAATAAAATGATCTGATTATGTGAGAAAAGAATTAGAAACTTATTAATCCTTGAATTTGTAGCTGGATATCTTAGGACCCGGCCTGGTAATGCAACAGCGACAAGAAATTACCGAAGCCATTGAGGGCAGTCAATCCTATAAATCAAACGTCGTCACAGCGATCCGTCCCATATCAATTCTACCAAATGTGATCGAATTATCATACTATAGCAACACTATGCTGCTATATTATATTATGGACAGTATAGTAGGTAAGACACATGAAGAGATCGACGAGTAGCTTTTAACCTTTCATCTGCAATCTGATTTTTTTTACACAAATAAAATTTTACTCTCAAATATTTTCGAAATAAAGAAAGGTATTTTCCTTTTTGTTAAATTATATATTTTTAAATTTCCATTTTTTTTTTAGTTTTGTGTTCAAATTTTAATTTTTATTGAATAGAAGTTTTAACATAAAAGACCTAGATTGCAGATAAAGGAAGTAAAAATATGATTGCAGATGGAGGATCAATTTTAAAACGTAACCTTGTTATATTTTCAGTAACAGCTTTGTATGCTGAATTGCAGTCTCAGATCAACGATCCAATCGCGATCGCTGAGAACAATATTATAGTGTTGCAAAACAATCTGCTCGAGCGGGCGCTCAAGTTATGCGACATTCTTAGGTACGAGTTTATTTTCTGCAGGCCCTGCCAAGAATTGAGAGATGTAGTTCTTGAAACAATACAGAATATCTCGCACAAAGGCATTATTACCCAGAAAGAGGTACATTTGTTTTTTACATAGATTAATTAAATAATTTATTTAAGTTATATATAGTAATAAAAAAAATAATTGACAGGAAGCTTATCTAGAGAATGAACTTTGGAGCAAAAGATACGCTCAAAATTTTGATGACAGTTCAGACGAAGAATACTCGAGAGAACGGAAAATCCAGAAGATTGAATATAAAGTAAATTATTTTTCTTAGATTTTTCTTGCTATTAATAATATCTATGTATCAACTTTTAAATTATTATATAAATATTTTATTTAATATATTTATTAATCTTATAAATTCTTTTTCTTAATTACTTTTAGCTGAGTTTAAGACCGGAACATTCTAGTCGCATGGAATTTTTACATACAATGTTACGTCCGTTAATTGACACGTACACATGCAGTGCTTTTAATTTGAGGAAATTAGTCGATCGGTCGGTCAATGAACGAGAGTTAGTTCAAGAAGTATTGAACGAAATCAAAACCAAAGTGGACGGAGGTATAATTAGTTATGGTAAGTTTTATATATATAGGTACACACACGCGCGCGCGCGCACGCACACGCACACGCAAATGCAACACACACAATTCAACGCGATTCTGGTGACATTCGGATGTAATGTAAAATATATTGTTAACTACATAATTTTTCATTGGGAACACAAGATTGCTTATAAATAAAATAATATATACGATTTGGAATCACACTCAATTAGTAAAGACTGAAATTGTTTTTATATTATATATAAAATGATATCATTTCTTTAATAGGAGAGAGTTTATGCGTCGATCCGATAAAGAACTCCTTTAGACTGTTTGAAAAATGGAATGTCCTGACGTGTCATATGCAAGAGAACATTAAAATTTTTTACTTGAAAGAGGATTACGATACGGATGCGGCAACGAAAAATGTGTACGATACTATAGCTGCTTTTAAGTGGGTCAGAAATATAGACTAAAATATGGTGATATTTCCTACTTCAATTAAAAAGAGTCTTTGAATCACATTATTTTTTATATCTTTTATAAAAAAATCTCATTAATTATACACACATAAACTTTGATGTCCAACAATTTTTTTTCTTGCGAACATTGTCGGACATGCAACTACATATAACTATATAGATTTGTTTGCATTGCTTGAAATCTCCCCTAAATTTTTGAACAAGATATAGTGTAAACATATATTTAGATTTAAAGAAAGAAGTCGAAGATTTTAAGTGCAAAAAGTACAAGCAATGCGAACAAACCTTATACATATAGTATTGTAGTATGTGTACTACAATATACATGTAAGTATGTGCAACTTGTATATAACTTCTTTTATCGGAAAAAGATAAAAAGAGATATGATATGGTATATCACTTGTGAATGTTCTTAAAAATATACGTTGTGTGATACATTCACAATGAAATACTTAAAAATCCTGTTTCACGATGTAGAACTGTACAGATGCAAAATTATATCATAGCTCTAAGTTGGTTGTATCATAAAATATTTTTACGAATAAATAGATAAAATACTATATATTATAGAAATATGTTTATAGTTTTTTTTAATAAAAATAATCTTGTTTTGCGTATATATATATTTAATAATTTCTTTTCAATTCTATATTAATTTAACATCTTGTTTCATATATCTTGCAAAAACTTTTTAACATTTCTATTAATGAAACATGAATATATAGCCTGCATTATAAAATTTGGTAAAACTTTATGTGCACTGCAATCTAACGGCTTCAGTATTTCACAATCGACGAAATCGGACAACTCCTTCTGAGTCCCATGCACTTTTCTCTATCAATGAACAGTGCATCTATCTTAGACTTTAAATTGCTTTCCAGATTAGATCTCGTGCGCAAAAGTTGCTGATGTTGCGCCTCAGATTGTTGCAGTTTCATATTCAAATCATACACTATTTTATTAATATCCTCTACTTCTTTGTTCATCCTATGAAGCACGTAAATATTGTTATTTAAATAGTGACACGTAAATGATTTTTTAACAAACCTGAATTGGGCATCATCCTTGCATAATTCATTGTCCGGACGATGTGTCCTGGCCTCCAGTCGCGTGTGCGCTACTTTCAATACTGGACTTTTATCGGCGATAGTCTTTTGCATTAATGCTACACTCTTTTCGACGTCAAAAATCTCTTCCTGAATCTAAAATGTCCACATATAGATAATATCGAATCTTGTGCATAAGATTTAAACAAGAAGGATCTAAAGACGTTATGAAGATTTTATAACTTTTCAAATACTTTTTTAGATGTTTTCTAAATTTTTTACATTGTTTATAATGTTGATAAAAATTTACACACCCTCACTATGATCTTACATCCCAGTTTTTTGTTTTTTGTAACAAAAATGTTACCTTATGTAAATGCGTTTGTAATTTTTCTTTCGCTTCCAACATTTCGGCAACTCGTCTGTCCAGCGCTTTATTGGTTTCAGCCCAAGCTTCGCATATTTCGTAGACTACCGCATTTATAACATTGTCAATATCATTTCGCAATTGGTGCGATTTTGCTCGTTCCGTTTGTGATTTCTTCACTATACTATTTGTCGCTTCTGCCCAAAATTCAGGCGCAATAACACTGCATAAACATAGTTATTATAGCTTCAGTTAGTAGAGAAATAAGGTGTACAAAGAATATATCTTGCTTAGTAAAGTAAAATATGTTATTATACAAATATCAATTTATGTGAAAAAGTTTCATTTTGTAATCTTTCTTTCTTCTCTCTCAAAATAGTGTGCTTATAAATGAAAGCTTTCATAATTACCTAGGATCGTATCTTTCTATACCACCGTAATATTGCAGACCTCGAGTAAAATTGTTCATCTGGTGACACACGTTATCAATTCCTAAGGCTGTTTCTTTGTTTTGTATATCAATCTGTAGCTGATGCTGCACAGCTCTACCATTTATTAACTGAAAAATATTGAAGGAGTTTTCAAGGTTGATACCACATAATATCGATAAACATATGACATACCTGATTAACACATCTATCCATGACCTGTTTCAATTTTTTCTCACAGTTTCTCACTATTTCAACTTCTTCTAGCAGAGCTTTTTCGACCTCATCATGTACCAAATCAATGCCTATCAATATTAATTAATTAATTAAGCCTTCTAGGTGATGCAATTCTAAAATATTCTTCCATTTTTTTACAGCGATTGCTTATTTTTAATCTCAATATCGAGTCTCTTTATTATCTAATATAAAAAAAAATGAAAAACCTTTTCTCGACTCCCGGTGATAAAGACATTCTTGCGCAATATGTAACTGTCCTTCAAGACTTTGGATCACGGTTTGCAATTTGCGACGACTGTCCTGCATTTTACCGTTTTCTACGATTAATCTCTCCAATTCTGATGCCACTTCATTCCGCCAGAAAGTAACATCTGTGATTCTTTCCCCGAGTTTTCGACCACTCTCTATTTGTCCCTTTTTTACCTTTTCGTTTACTTCTCTGAAATAAATATATCGCAGCAACAATATATTTCAAGAATTCACACACAAATCATGGTATAATTTATTAACGAATAATTTTTAAGATAACTGGAATAATTAAATCAGTTTTAACATAACGGTATTTCTATGCATTGAATAACTTTCTGCAAACAATTTCTTAATCTTTTTATAAATTATTTTATAATTTTATAGGAAATCAAATATAATAACAAATGAAAAACTTTAAGGATATACTTTGCGCGCGCTAATGCAAAGTTAAAACAATTAATACATCACTAAATAATTTGATTTAAAAGAAACATCAACTCGAGTCTTAAAAATGTACTCCTACCGCATTAAGCACGCATTGTTTTTGCGCAATTTTTCAGAGTAACATCTATTCTCATTCGCTTCATTATAGAGTTTGATTTCATTCTGTATCCAATCACATGGAGTGTATCGCGTGTAAAGCGCAGCACGTGCCGCGTGCGAAGGATTACGATCAAAACCGGTTACCAAATTTGGAAACTTCAGTGGTTCCGTCGCCAAGCCACGTGACGTGCGACAAGCATCCACCAGCAGATTCGTTATTGGCTGTGCAGGCCTAAGTAAATTACGATTAATTTGAATAAAAGAAATTAATTTTTATTTTTTATGTTAAAAATAGCGTAGACCTTTAAATTGGATTTTATTCATCTTTTACTTTTTCAAATTAGAATTTATGCATCAGTGAATATTAGAACTATAGTGAACTACTCACAAGGGAGCCACCTCTACAACCTCATATCCTAAGGTAGGTCGCCAGGGATGCGGCCTTGGAGTCTTGTAAAATTCTCCAATTCTGGTTGGAATCGGAGGACCTGCGACCTGCTCCATACACGGTGAAACGCTGACTGCACTCCACGGTTGAAGTTGCTAGACATAATAACAGATATTTAAGTAATAAGAAATGAATAAATATGGCATTAATTGAAAATCTCAATAGGATGGTTTGCTCCTCGAGTGTTTTTGCATACATATTAAATAAAATTGCTGTTACAATTTCCTATATTTTAACCCTACATCTGATTAATATGAAATTGACAGAATCGTTTAAACTTCAATACGATAATACGTAATACTTAATAATAATAATAATATTTACGGAATACATAACAGTTTCAGTCCTTTTCTCGGTTTTAACGTTGACCATGATTACAATAAATTTCGTAGGTTTCTTTCCACGTCCGAAGAAGAGATAGCAATTCAATGCAATTTCGAAATGCGACTAACTTGAAGTAAATCAAATCTCGAATGATTTTGAAAACGCAATGCCTACTCCGAAGACATGTCTACTTGCATCATGCTCCGAAGTAATCTATCATGAAAGTAACCAAATGGAATAATAAAATAATAATATAATAATAATAATATATAAAAGAATTATTTTCTTTTTTCCCCTTTTTTTCTCGAATGATTCTGAAAACGCAATACCTACTCCAAAACTAAACATAATAATAATAACAATAATAAAATAGTACAACAAAAATAGTACAATAATAAACGCTTTATTAAGTGTGAATACACAAGTAAGAGTTAATAATACAATCAACGTACACACACAATAATATAACACATCAACATAACAAAAATATTTTCCTTTTTTTCTCAAGTGATTTTGAAAATGCAATATCTACTCCAAAATAATCAAGTAAAATAATAATAATAACAATAACACACACACACATACACAGTAAATTTAATAAATCTATATATTATTCGCTTCTAATATCTTGCGTAGTGGTATGCCCTTTATAATTAATATTGTTTTGAATAAAAGTAATAATAATAATAATAATAGTAAAAGTAATAATATATATAATAAAAATATTTTCCCTTTTTTTCTTGATAATTTCGACCACTTCGATGTTCTTATCTAGGCGGGGCGCCTTTTCGAAATCCGGAAGTGCATCGGCCACGTGATGCGAGTGAGCGTCACGAGGTAATAGTCAGGTGCTTTCGGAGTGCCTTCTGCTCCATTGAATCAGTACTGTGCATACGGTTCAGCGTGAATTCGCGTTGGTTTGACCCGGCCTCAACTCGACTTCCAGGATGACGAGAGGCACGGGAAAGACGAGCAATATGGTCCGCGTATCATTCTTCGCACTGTCCCTCGTCTGTCAGCTAGTCTTCGCCTACGCTTGCACGCCCACTGTGATCTGGTGCTCGCACGATTCGTCTGACTATGATGCTACTTACAGAAAGGTACCGTCGAGTCCGCTGCAGAGGTTGACTCCTGACGAGTTCGAAAAGATCCTGTTGCAGTTGAACGTTACCGAGCCAGCGATTGTTGTTGAGGAGCTATGTGTTGAGGATCTGCGGAATAGCAAGGTTAGTCCTCTTCGCCCCTTCCTGGCATTTATCTGTGGCTACAAAAGAGATGCTTATCAGAAAGTCTTAGGTCCAGTTCCATAACTCACAGTTAACTCTTAACCGAGGTTCAATTTGTTTTTCATCTCTTTTCAATTTTAGAAAGACAACGAATAAGTTGAATCTTAAGACTTAACCATGAGTTGTGGAACTGGGCTTTAAGAAGAAATATAGGAAAAGATAATGGAGGAAGAATTCGTGGAAAGAAATCTCGAATTTTGATTGCATTCTGGTTTACATTAGTCTAGTGTATAGTTTCCTCTAAAGCATTCATTCACATTTAAAGCAGCGTTGAACCAAAATAAGTCGATAGAAATACGTTTGATTGCACTCTTTTCATTACTTCAATTCACAAAATCTCTACTTCCAACAGAAATAGCACACTAAATTTAATCAACGCAAAAGTGAAATTGACAGTTTTGATAGAAAGTAGATCACTGTTGCAATATTATTGTCATAAGTTTTAATCTGTTACCTCTCTCATTTCTTATATACCTTTCTTTTCTCTCTGGATTATGGATATACATTTGTTATAATTTAAAAATGAAAGATACAAGAAGAAAATATCCCCAAATTTGCATTGAATATTTAATGGTAATAAGACTAGTTTGTTCACTATGATCTACATGTTTTTCTATTCTACATGCGTATGTTTTAATGTATTATCAATAATGACAGTTTAGAATTATATTCTTGCACTCTTTTCTTCTCCTGTGGATTCTAAAAATGTATTTGTTATAATTTAAAAATAAAAGATACACACAGAAAGAAATTCCTACGTTGAACATCTAATGGCAATAAGACTATTTTAGTTTGTTTTATTATGATTTACAAATGTATTTTCCATCCTGCATTCGTATGTCTTAATATATTATGTTTGAGTACTTTTTATCTATATAGTGATACAAGTCGATACAAATATTTCATTTTTCTTGATATTCAGAGTGTTAATAAAGAATTACAGTTGCATCACCAAATGGAAAGCATACAGAGTAATGAAATTTAGAATTAAAAACAGATACATCAATTATTTCTTTTAGAGAATCTTTCAGAAATCATAAAATAAAATTGTTATAAATGTACAAATGTTACAGGTGCTGTCAAATGCCACTAATGGTTCCAAAATATTTTATTTCGCGTGTGTCGTTTCATCCGACGAGATAATCCAAAAGATCTGTAAACAGAAAAAAATGATAGAGGATATTAATGATGATCATAATCTCAACATGATCCTCAAGGACATCGATTCGAACGGATGCATAGTACTTACTGGAAAACAGTGCCGTTACAGCTACACTGAGCGAATAAAGAGAGAAGTGCTTGCGGACAATTCTACTTCAGAGTTCAAGATAAAAACAGACGATGTTCTATTGTATTCCGCTCAACCATTGACACTCAAGGTAAGTAACATTAATAAAATAATATTGCATAAAAAATTTTAAAGCAAATTTCTCAAGTTTTGAGACTTTCTTTTTATAACTTTTATATTAAGTGATAAAAGAGAAAGAATTTACAAAAAACATGAACCTATTCGATGTCAATTAATTTAGGAAGGCTAAAAAAATTAAAGGTAATACAAAAAAAGTGTTGTGCCATTGCAGATATCTGACAAGCCAGAAGTGCAGCTTGTTCAATCTAAAGTCACCGGAATGTCATCTAAGAACAATAATAACACGATGATCTTGACTATCAAGCTTGACGATCAGACCATCGGCAGTCTAACGCTTGAGTTTTCGTTCGAGATCAAAAGAGGCTACTACACGTTGACCAAAGTGACCTACGAGACGATCAATGGAGTTAATACTCTATCCACCAAGCGAGACATTTCTTTTCCGTTCGGTTTCTCTTATCATTGCTCACCGAAAACCACCTTCACGGACGGTACCACGTTCTTAAATATCATGGATATGCAAGTACAGGTCGGTCACAAAGGTGCAACGTTCAGCGACGCGTACGACTGCGTCGGTTTTACCAGTATACCAATTTGGACGGGGATATTCGTGACGGTAATACTGGGGTTGATCATGATATGGGCGCTCACCATGATCATGGATATCCGCACGATGGACAGATTCGATGATCCTAAGGGGAAAACTATCACGATTTCCAGCGCGGAGTAGAATAATAATAATAATGGAACTTATAATGCAATTGTAGGTATTGAATACTCGTGCGAAATCTATTGTCAGATAAGATCATATCGATTGTTCACGATGATGATTGTTGTCTTGAACGTTTAGTTTCTCTAATTTGAGTGTCACATGTTTTCACAAAAACCGAGAAAGTATTGAGTAGTAATGATAATACTAGTCTCGTTACGAACTTTCATTATGAACTTTCGCTCGATGTATAAATATCATTCCTTTGTTTAATATTACTTTCGATATTTGTAATTGTTCGCTATTGTGAGTTTGCTGTTTGTATGATACAATGGTTATGAACTGTTATTTTAGTATTCAGTCTTTATGGAAAAGATAAAAAATTCTTCGAATGAATGAAGGTAGCACAATATATATTATTAAATAAAAATCCGAACAATAAGTGTTCTTTTAAACACAGGAATATATTATATAATACGCAATAGAAAAAAAAATTGTATAGCCACATGAACTCGCGATGAAATTACAGCTACATACAACGTTATTGCCTGTTACTATTTGTAACAGGCAATGTAATATTTATTATATCAGAAATGATAGAAAAAAGCAGATTGTAAACTGAGAACTGTTACGCGGTAGACAAATAAATTTCTACTACGGCCTCGCGCCTTCTGTGAACGGTTCTGATGTCTATCTAAGCTTCCTTGTTAATAAGAGTTTGTAAAAAAGTATGTAACATAAGTTATAATATAAATGTTTAATATAATGTATAAGAAATATATACAGTATAAATGTCCTGTAAAATCAACTTGTCACCTTTTTTAAAAACTTATTCATGCCGAACATGCAGGAACATTGGTACCATGAATTATCATAAACACCATAGAATATGGTGGTAATAATACGGGATTTGTAGGATCTAATATCACAGGTCGAAACGGTGGCAAATCACCATTCGGTCGCAATTTTAGCGCTTCAGCTTCACCGTTCAGCTTTATCTCACTGCAAAAAAAACAAATATGACTCAATTTACTATTCATTTAGCTTAATATTCGTTTGATTATTATTATAGAATTTTATTCATTATTTCATACATACCTCGACTGCAAATGATCAGCAGTTAGAGAGTAATACGAAATCATGGTTTTACTGTTTTGTACAAATAATCCCGAAATATGTACGTAGGCCGCAGTTTTGTCTATATTCATTCCGTAGATTGTGACAGCCGGTACTCTGGAAATCAGCGCATTTTTCGACGTGCAATGCGCGTACAAGCGTACGCAGCCAAAATTGTCAGGCCTCGACAATTTCAAAACCTTTTCCGAAACAAATTGCTTGTAAAAGACGCTGACCCACCAGTCAGGGTTGGGTGTGAGATTCGGTGATACCATAGCATAATTCGAGCCGAATAATGATTGTCTTGTAACGACGTCTAATCCCGCGCTAGCGCTGTATCCCAATTTATCCAACCATAAAAATCCGGCTACAAATCTGTCGGACAATCCGGGCGCACCTCCGCCAAATGCAGTGCTGGTCTCGGCTATAAATTAAATTTTTTTGCAGTCTTTGTACTATACAATAATATCTAATATTTTGATATTAATGTAAGATACGTACACAGCCACATAGAAACATCTTTCCCCGACTCGGCAATAAATTGTCTCATGGAATTGATTTGCGCTGGTAACCAGTTGAACGTGGAAGGTGCCACGAAATCATTGACTTTAGCCTCTCGTCCATTCAGATAATACTGATGCCAAGTGACATAATTCACAGTATTCTTCTGGCTACTCAAAAATGCCTTGACATACAGCTCCCCCATCTCATTAGAATCTCCGACGTGATTAACTTCTGGTCCAACGAGAATGCTGTCGACATATCCTGCTTCGTTTAGCAATTGCCTTAAATTATCGTAATCCTTCGCAAGTTCGGTCGCAGGAATTGTCACATTGAACACGTGTTTAAAGGAATTTGGTTCTAAAAACATTGTCAAAATAAATATTAGGGACTACATGCGCATATAATTCTACTTATGTATACACACTTTATGATAACTAAATATTTATACTGATACCATCAAACAATTAAAATTTTTTAATTGATTGTTAATTTAATATTTATATGTTAATCATATTTTACATATGTTGATTTTTCACATTTATATAGTTACCATTTCCCAATTGCCAATCTAACGTCATGCCTTGATTCTTAGTGAATGCGATAATCTTTTGTGCGTTACTGTTATTCCAGGATCCATCTGGATTTCTGAGCAATACATTCAGATCAAAGATCATTCGTAACTCCGACTTCACTGTAAAATCGTAGATAGCAAGCAAATCCGCGCCGGAGATAGTAAAGTTGCTGATATCCTGGTCATCCACAGGACTAAGGATCTTCTCGGACGAGTTTTGTTCCATCTGAATCATCATGTATGCATTAAAACATTAAAATTAAACCTACAAGCAGTTTTATAACAGTTAATGATGTTCTATAATTTCGAAATAGGTAGGAAAGGTAAATAAGTTTACATGACAAATATATGTGTGTTACTTATGAAGAATATTATATTTTGCAAACCAACCTGATCCTGAACAAATGTCAAACAATCCGCAGAGGTTCCGCCCACTCTGACATAAGCAGGACTTAAGTGACGGGCCAAATTAATAAATTTCTGTTGTCCAACAGGTAACTCATTCATTCTTCGAAGTAAGGACGTATCGAGACCGAACGACAAGAACTTGTCGGAAACCATGTGTAATACAGGCTGCTGTCTGTCAAAATGGAATACATAGAGGTGGATTGGAACTTGGATATTGGAGCTCCATAATGAGAGAATCAACAGCGTCGAGCATAGACCCAATGCAGTGCAGCAGAGTATAGAACGTACAGCTGGGCCTGCTATAGGAAGAACATGTCAAGATTCATTTAATAATAAAAAAGATATCTAAATGTATAATAAACAATGGGCAGTTTGGAGTCAACGCTAGATATTTGTTGCGTAAATTATCTTATATTATATAACAATTATTATTAAATTATTTTGGACGTTTCGGCTAACAATTTTGAGCCATCTTCAGCAATAATAATTACCGCTAATCCCTACTGTCTAGCTGCAAAAAAGATATGTTAACAAATAAGAAAGTGCAACATGCGTATAACTATTGAACAACAGTTTTAATATACTACAAAGAATTTTACACTCTTACAAAATATTGTACTTTTAATTTTATAAAACTGCAAGATGTAATTAAATAATTTTGTAATTTAGCTGAAAATAATTGTAAGTCAAAACATTGTCTAATGGTTTGGAAAACTAATTTTTGTTTTCTTTGTTGATGCTTGAATTAGTTCCTAATTTGTGATCTAATTATTTGCTTGTGTTTGATATTTTTCTTAATTTTTTTTATTGTTTTATAATTCTGAGATAAATAATTTATTCTTATGCAATTAAAATAAATTTAATAAAGAAAGCTATAAAATGTTACTCAAATGCATATATTATATACGTTTGAAATATGACCATGTGACGCGAAATTCCCGGCAAGTATGGCGGCAAGATGGTCATTGACAGCTAATAGCTATTGTCGGCGATGTAACACCGACAAAAATAGAACGTAATATGCGATAATTGATATAATATTTTAGAAGAAGTGATTCAATCGACAGCGAGGCAAGTAAAGGCGAGTCGTACATTCATCTCGCATATCTCTTCAAATAGATATGTCCGAAGTTTCAACTTACTACCACGTACACGCGAATCGCTCAGTTCCTGATACCGGCCCTTGCCCCAGTCATTGCTCACGAAATAACTCATCGTCGTCGAGAAGATTCCCACAGCCTAACCGGAGTCTAGAAAACCGGAACAACTGTCTCAGATCAGTCTCAAATGGTCGCAAATGTCACATGCGGATTCCGCTCTTTTTGCGACGTCAACAATTGAACGCTCCTCCTCCTGCTTTCTGCTTCCGCTTAGCGCCGCGAGAACAATCGAGAGTATCGAGACGGGCGCGATAAAAACTATGAACGAATTTGGTCATTCAAACTTGGCATTGAGAAAAAAATGTGCTCAACTTTAATAAATATTTATTTAAATAGTGCCAGTTGAATATTTACTAAATGTAAACATATATTTATTCGGTACAAGAATTATTAATTTAACTATTTTTTTTTTAGCAAATATTTATTTTAATAAATAACTTAAAATGTAAATAAATGTTATATTAATATTTAAATAATTATTTATTAAAATTTGACATTACATTTTTCTCAGTGTGGATTAGTGTACATTAAAGACTGTTTTATATAAAAAATAAAAAATCTATATATATAAATGCATGACAACGAAAATAATACATATACAGGGTACTGGAAATTACTGCCAAATGTTTCGTGCGTGGGTAGAACAGACTATACTGATTCGAAAAGTCCTGTACCAATTTGCGGTGTCAGCAATAGTTAACGAGATATTAATTACTAAAAATTGCAAAATAATGGTCTTGAATAATTTTTTACTCAAATACTATCAACTTTACAAAAAAACTGCAAGAAACAAAAATCATTTATTTTCTTCTCATAAAGTTCTGAGAATTTTTTATTAACTTTTTAGTACTGCATTTTCTTATTTTTACCAACATGAGAAAATACGGTATTAAAAAATTCTGAAAATATTCTGAAAAAATTCTCAGAACTTTATGAGAAGATAAATGATTTTTGTCTCTCGCAGTTTTTCAATAAAGTTGGTAGTATTTGAGTAAAAAATTATTCAAGACCAATATTTTGCAATTTTTAGTAATTAATATCTCGTTAACTATTGCTGACACTGCAAAATAGTACAGGACTTTTCGACTCAGTATAGTTTGTTCTACCCACGTACGAAACATTTGGCGATAATTTCCAGACACCCTGTATATATTCTGTTAACATGACAGTATCATTATTAGATATTTAATTGTTTAAAGTATTTATATACTTTTACACTTAACTTTGTTAATTTCATGCAGCTTTTAATATGCATTATAACGGTGGAGTGAAACATATATACACA